CAACCTCAGAACACAATCCCTTCTTTGAACCTCTTCTAGTTCAAACTCCAAAATTAGAGGATCAGAGCATTATTTGTTGATCTTAATTATATCTCAAATAGTTTACTTTCAATTAGTGTAAGATTTACTGAGAGCCTCTCTCAGGCCTATTATATAAGTTGCCTACTCAATATCTATTGTTTCTTTCTTTGTAAAAACACTGATTTTATCTGAAGCAGCTTCTCTTGAATATAAGGGCAGCAAAATGAACAGGAAATTATTATAAGACTTCAAGAAGAGTTCTTTTCAGGTGTACAGAGAATGTGGACATCTCCTTCTTTTCTGCCTGGGAATAAGGAAGCAATGGCTAGAATCTTAGTTCATGAGGTGACCTTGATGATGCAAACTATGTGTTAAGGAAAGTGGTACTACAACAACAACAACAAAATACCCCAGAAACTTAGGTCCTTCTGATCATGGAGGTACCATACCAACTGACTGCCTAATCTAACTTTTTCTGAAAGATATACATATCCATTCCATTTCATTTCACCATTATATCTGGATTTCCTCCTACAAATTGTCAGACCTAATTCCTAACAGATACACCTTTATAACCAAAATTGTATCTGATCTAAAATTTAAACTTACTTTAGACTTCCAAATTAACCTAATAAATTTAAGCAGGAAAAGTTGCAACTAAAAAAAAAGACATGATAATTAGGTCAGGAATGCTGGGCGTGATGGTGCACACCTATAATCCCAGCACTCAGGAGGATATCAAGAGGTCAAGGCCAGCCTGGGCTACATAGTGAGACCCTGTCTCACACACCCCCCCCTTAGGTCAGGGATAAGAATCCGCAACCTGACTCCTCATACATAGGTTGTTAGCTACATCACAAGCATTTACTAGATGTTGTTAGTCTAGTATCAATTACTTTTCTTTCTTTTCTTTGTTTCTTCCTGGTACCAGGAATTAAATTCAGGACCTTGCGCTTGCCACGGCACCAGTGAGCTATATCAATCAATTAGGCCCACTTCCTACTCCTACCTTTTCTGTCCTAATAATGAAGTTTTACCATCAGAGCCATTTAGAAAGTACTCACATTTATTTAAAGTGACAATAAAAGGCAGCTAAGGCAAAATTTTATCTTGAGTCTTTATGTCCAAATATAATGAAGATCACCATGTTTAGCTTTATACTTTAAAAATGTCACTTTTAGTTAATATTAGTACATGGTGATGCAATTATGGGATGGGAAGTCAGAAAAAGGCTAACATCAGACTGAGTTTGCTATTTACAGTTTTCCCATTACAAGTGGGGACCCTTTTATTTATGTAAACAGAAAGATGTTGATGTGTCAGAAGCAGGACACAGAGTAGAAGTGATAGATAAATCGCCTAAATCAAGGATTTCACACTATAATTCAAACTGGTCCCTGACTATGATCATGAACAGTGTTAATAGTCAAAGACACAAGAAAGAATAAGAACTCATCTGTTCCTTAACTATGAGAAAATATCTATAGATTTGACTTGCTTTAAAGATTTACTACTGAATGTGCTTCTGCTCCTGGAAAGAACAACAAATTAGAGGAGAAAGAAGTCCAAAATGGACTACAGAGATAGCAGCTAGATACACGCTTCCTCATCAACCTCCTTTAAAAACTTTGCTTGGTAAAGTAGGAATTGATGTGTCAAAATTCTTTGGCACAAAATGAAAATAAAGTATGAAGTAACAATACTGGAGTCCTGGATCTTTTCCCCCTCTAGTCTCATTCTGACTTTGTTACATTACAATTGAATTTCATTACTGGCTCCTAACCACTCTGAGCTGCCTTCCTCTGTCTCAGCTTAGAAATGGTAGTGATTTGGTCATAAAATAGCTTTAGAGATTTTACCACAGTGAACTAGATGTGTCTTAGAGCATTTGGTCATTAACATGTATGAAAAAGGTTTTTTGTATCTTACTGCCAAGATTAGGTCACAGGTATTAGGAAATTTATGTATCTGTCTCCTAATCATAGAAGTATAAAAATTATTTCAATAGTGAATTATAAGTTTTAAAAAGTCAACCTTGTGAATATATAAAAAGATTTGAGTTCTTCAAAGTCTTGTTTCCTAGTCCTTAAAAGTGTATCACTGATGGCTTGGAAGTATACAAAAGTTAGGCATCCCCTTCCTTTTAACTACTGGGAAGTCACAGAAAAAAGAAAACATAGAGCAATGTCCAGAATACAAAATCTCTACAACAAGATTAGACTGTCTTTTGTTGTTTTTTCCTTTGTCTTTGTTTTATAAACATATGCATGCACACAGCTTTTAAACAAGAGGCCAGTTGATTAGGAGACTAACTGTTCATTCAATATAAACAATCCAAAAAGTACAAAATATTACTTTTATTTACTACAAATGTGGGAACTCAAAAGCTAAATGTTATTATTCCTCAAGAGAATTTATTTTTACTAAGCCTCTTTGAAAAATAAAGAAAAACAGAATAGCTTGGAATACATTTAGCAATTAGGAAGCTATGAAACCAGACAATAGCAATATTATTATACCATAAAGAAAATTACATTAAGCTAGTAGAGTTAAATGTTATTTTTTAGAAGTTCCTCTTACATTCCTGTTTACTGATTGGCATTGTGCTAAGAACTTGGTACTAGAAAGAAAACTTCAAAAACATTTAAAATGGTCTATTAACAAAGAATATACCCTGTAATTTTTCTGGTATGTGATTGTCACTTTTTTCTGTCTATCTTCAAAAACCTGTACAAATATAAAAACTGTAATTTTGTAGAAATCAGGGTACTCGTTTTCCTTCCTTTTTCCTACAATAATCTTATGATATTAAACACTTATAATGTACTAGCTTATCACTGTAGCAAAAACAAAAAAGGGTATTTGGAGCTGAGAACTAACACCAGATAAACTGAGAATTTTAGCTCTAATTTTTCTCACAAAGTTCAACTGGCCAAAAAAAAAAAGTTAAACTGGCATTTAAATATATAAAACCTAAAATATATATAGAATATTAAATAAAATAGTTCCAATTTAAATTGAGAATTGTTCTAATTCAAATTGAGAACTGCTTCTGCATTTTGAGAGACCACTACTGTATTATTTCAAAAACAGGATGTATGTCATGCTTGCTGAAGCTGGAGGAACATTAAAGACAATTTAAAAAGGCTACAAAATCAATGATGAAAATTTAGGTTTCTACAACACGAACCCCACTAATGATGATTTGGCAGAAAGCAGTGGTTAGGTAAAGTTAGGTAAATGAATAGGAAAGACAAATCAATTAGGACGCAGGAGTACAGGTTTCTATCAGCCCTACAATTAAAGTAACTATTGCCAGTAGATCAATGGAATTAAGATCACACATATTACAATAATGGGCCATGTTTCAAAGCCCAGGATAGTCAAAGTGCATTTCTTAGGTCTGGTAAGGTTGAGTTCCATCGCATTAAAATGAGTAATAGCTGTAACCAGAGCTATTTTGAGTTTAATAAGATAGTCCATGTAAGGTGCTTAGCACAATGCCTAGCACATAGTAACAACACCTCGCCATCACCACTGCAGCAACCTTCAGCAGCCCAACTTTCTGGGCCTCAGTTTGCTTACGGGTAAAATGCAGTTTGTACTAGACAATGTTTAACGTCCTTCTCATCTAAACGTAACACTCCACACCTGTCTGAACGTTCGGGGCCAACTCTATTTCTAAAGAAAATAAATTTAGATCTTTCATTCTAGCATGATTAAGAATCTGGTAATGTATATGCCTCAGAAGAGTCATTATCTTTAAGTCATCTTTTTGAAATCAGCTTAATTACCCCATTTGTTTTGTTTTTTTGGTTTTTGGTACTGGGGATCAAACTTGGGACCTTGCTCTTTCGAGGCAGGCTGCAGAACTACTGAGCTAAATCCCCAGCCCCTACTACGCTTGTTAAAGCCAAAGTCATAGGTATTCTATGTACCTCAAAAGAAATCCACACTGTTCAATCACATGTTTGATGACTACATTTTTGAGTAACAAGTCCTAACAGGAATTTCAAGATATACAATTGTAATATGCATGTGCTTACTCTAAGAAGATGTCTCATTATAGAAAAAAAATAAAGATCATGAAAATTTTCAAATATATATGGTCCAGTAAAGACAGAAATGCTGCTTTAAAACTGTCCATATGTGAAGATCTAATAGTCTCTCTACTAGAACAACTCAAAATTCAAAATACAGGCAAACTTTATGATAGCAAGAATATAGTTTTTTAATGTGACTCATAAATATCTAAGAATCAGTTTTAATATGACAATATCAAGATTAAGGGAATACCTCTACATTTCTTAGAAGCAAACTATTGATAGCCATAGGCACCTTAACTTTCTACCAACCCAAACACTTTCAATTAGATTTTTTTAATCTTTGGGGTACTTTTTCCATGTACTTAGTGATACTGTTACAAAATTTTAAAAATCTTTTTTGTTTTAAAAATTCGTACAGGTGTTTGTGATCAATTAAAAGTGTATATAAAATTTTAGGAACATTTCTCCACATGATGTGAACAGAGGGGAAGAGAGGAAGAATTCAGGATCATCTCAGGCACTAGCGCTGCAGGCCCAAAGGCATAAAATTACATTTGCCCATCTACATAAACTGTCATTAGCTCTCAATATGAAAACCACACACAAAAGTCGGCTGGAATCTGAAAGCCTAGGTCTCAAGCAGGAAACACATCTACCAGGCAATACTAATACCTCATTTTTATATTAGCAAAAATGGGGTTACTATTATGGGTATTTAAAATAATTATTTAATCCTCTTAAATCTTAACTTTGTTAACCCTACCTTCATTTCCAGAAAGCTGTATCTTTAATACGTCTGCATCCACACTTCAAATTTAACAAGTTTCCAATGATTCAAAAAATTTAACTTTACCTTATAACCATAAAGTGTATCAGCATAAAGTAGTTCTGTAAAGTTCATGTCATAAAATCAAAACCATGCTGTGTCCTTACCCTCAATATTTAGCTCAAAACAAATGTGGCAGAAGGAGAGTGTTTCTTTGTCTGTTCCCAGTTTACAAACACTGCAAATGTTGTCATCATCCAAATCGATATTTACAAAGTGCTCCTCTTCGTTCATAGTGCCCCTATTAAGAAACAGAAAAGGAAAGTTACACAATTTCGAGAACCTGCACCCCGGCAAGCCATACTGGGAACTTCTAAGAACCAAGAGAGGTACTCTTCGCAGTAGCCCATCAAACATGCAAGCATCGCCATACTTGGGTCGTTCAGTAACATAATTTTATCGTAGAAAACCACAAAGCTTGTAAAAGCTTGGCCACGGTGACACTATTTCTTAACGCCCTCCTGATATTTCATGAGATTGAGAGCATCTGAAGGAAAGAGTTTGAGGGTTTACCACGCTCCAGCCCGGTCCCCTGCCCTCGAATAGTGAGGCAGGGGCAGGCAGCTTGGCGAGTCCTTTCCAGCCGCCGGATGGTCAGAAAAACCGACCTGTTCCGACGCCGCTTCGCTAACTTCAGCGCGGGAATCTTGGCTGGGTTTCGCTCCCTCGGTGTCGCCGGGCTCCCTATAGCAGGTCTGCGGCAGGAAAGTGCACGTGGGGCCGCGAAGACGCGCGAAGACCCAGACGCCCGCAATCAAGACCAGCGGCGGCTCGGGGTCCAGGTCGCGCCAGCCGGAGGGGCCGGTCCGGTCCGCGGCGCCCAGGGGTTCCGGAGCCCGCCGGCGGGAGCGCACGTCCCCTCGCCACGGGCTCCCTATCGCGCAGGGGGACAGCGTTCGCGGGCACAGCAGCCGGCCGGTCCAGGCTCGGCGTCTCCGGAGTCGGTCCCCGCCTGGCTCCGCACGACCGCCGGGGCTCTGTGTCTGTCGCTGTCCCTCTGTACGTCCGTCGGGGCTCCCGGTGCACAGCAGCTAGAGGCGGCGGGGCTCAGGGCTCGAAGAGGCGGGACGACACGGCCAGGGCGCAGGCGGGGCGGGACAGAGCTGGGTGTCTTTACCGCCCGGCTCCGCGGGCCGCCGCCTGCTCAACTATTATTTCCGGCCGCGGCGGAGGCGACCGAAGCGAAAGCACCAGCCACATGCCCGCCCCGCCCCCTCCGCCGGCGCCATCCTCTGACGACCGCGGGGAGGACGGCGTGGCCAGGGCAAAGCTTGCGCCCGAGCGGCGGCTGCGGACTGGCTCGACCCTACTGGAAGGATGCTCCGTGCCCGGCCTAGACTCGAGTTTTACTGGGATCTCCTATCTCTTGGCCGGTTTCTTACCGTTCTCTGCACCGTGGTTCCTCACATCCTCCCTCCGTAGGGCGCAGAGATAGACAAGTCCATTACTACCGCCCCCTTAAGCGTAGTGGAAACTACTGCCCCGGGCGGGGGTGCGGGGAGCTGGGGGCGGGAAAGTGGGGCTGGAAGAGAGAAAGCAACCCGAATGCGTGGGTAGTAGGACTCTGCTTGACAGCAGGAGACTGAAGCGAAATACTACCGCTACCCTCCCGGTTAGATGTCAGTTGACTAATATAATGAAAGAAAAGTTCGAATTTCATGTGTCTTGATTTAGGCATAACTTTCAGAAGCTTCTTTATTACGATTATTTTTAGGGGGTCATACTTCCCCAATAATTGGTACATTCCTTGCGCTCCCACCCGGATAATCCCAAAGCCCCACCTCTTATTTAAAGGCCCCGCCTCTTTCTTAAACTGCTAGTTTTTAAGCTTTTTTTTTTAAAGCTATATTTTAAGTAGTACTTTCAATTACATTTTCTATTACAATCTTAACAGTAGCATTGGAAGACGAAATGGGAACTGTCCTCTTAGTTTGCTACCTAGGAGTAACTAAGCCAAGTTATCACCTTAGGTTAGAAACAGAGCAGATATTTGAATTCAAGGTTATTGATTGACAGGACCACTGTTCTCTTGCACAGCACCATAAGCACCCGTTCTGATTACAGTCATAAGTAGAAGTGGGGCTGAATTGTCATTCTACATGTAAGTATTCTTCAATTGATGGCAAGAGTGCATTCCAGGGCTAGGGAGTTAGCTCAGTGGTTTCGCCGCCTGCTGCGCACGCACAAGGACCCAAGTTCGATCCCCGAAAAAAAAAAAAAAAAGTCCATTCCATAGATCTTGGAAACTGCGGGACCAAACTGTCACTTGCTATAAGATCTATGGAATGGACTTTTTTTTTTTTGTACCGGGGATCGAACTTGGGTCCTTGTGCGTGCGCAGCAGGCGGCGAAACCACTGAGCTAAATCCCTAGCCCTGGAATGCACTCAGAAAAGTGATCGGTGCCCACGCTAGTTGAAGAACAGTAGATGAACCAGCAGCCCTGACATCACTTGATATCTTGATAGGAATATAGCGCCTCAGGCCCTACCCAAAATTTCCGAAAAGATAACCTGCCGGATACTAAGACCTCCTCCCTTCCCCCTGATTTTTTTCCCAAGATATACCAACTGAAATAGAAAAGACAATGGTTTTTCTATTTTAATTTTCAGGTAGGTAAATATGACTGAAATATCTTCCATGCTGGATTCTACTTATCCTTTCCGTAAGTGATTTTTAAAAAGTGATTCATTTTCTTAAATCACTAATAGTTTCTTTGTTTTGAAAGAAATTATTTTCAATTCTATTTTCTCTTTTTTGTTATTTCACAGTTTGCTTGCTCTCCTTAACTTCTTTTATTAAAATTGAGGTGTAATGTACAGAAATAAAAATTTCCTATTTTGAAAGCACAGTTTGATTTTTTTTGACAAAAGTATACACTTGAGTAGCCACCACTTGTTATGACTTGTGTTTAGATGTTTCCTCAAAGCCTCATGCAGTCATAACTGGGGCTTTTTCAGAGGTGGCTGGATCTAGAGTATTTGATGCTAGGATTGATTTTCCAGGGTACAATACTAGGATTAAGGGTGTATGATTACTAAATTAGTCCACTGATTGGTTTGGCACCTGCCTTAAGCCAGATACCCTAGATAGAATATAACAGAGGCAGAAAGAAGCTGCCATTGTCCCTTGTTGGTGGTCTGTTGCTTGCTTTTGCCCTTACCTGCCTGTTTGCATGGACTATTTCTTCTCTGAGATGCCTGTCTGCCATGCCACCCTGCCTTGGAGCCAGCTGGCTATGGACTGAAACCTCTACAAACTGTGAGCCAAATAAACCTTTCCTCCTTTAACTTTGGGTGTTAGGTATTTTGTCTCAGCAAGGAGAAAAGTAACCATGACACCACCTCAATAAAAATATAGAACACTTTCACAGCCCTAGATTCCCTTTTACTCCTTCCAAGACAAGCTCCCCCAAAATGAAATCTAATTTATATCAGTAAAGGTTAGTCTTACCTGTTCCATAAATTCATATACATGGAATTAAATTTTGTGATTTGTGTGTGTGTGTGTGTGTGTGTGTGTGATTGGCTAATTTTATTCAGCTATTATTTTGTTTTTTTAAGATTCATGATGTTTTTCTTGTTTGTTGTTTTTGTAGTACTGGGGATTGAAAGCAGGACCATTTCACTGTGTTACATCCCCCCCTGAATCCCCTTTTTGAGACAGGATCTTCATAAATCATAAATTGTCCAGGCTGGGCTCAAATTTGTAATCCTCCTGCCTCGGCCTCCTGAGTATTGGGGATTACAGGTGTGTACCACATAATGTTTTTTTTATCACTGGTTTCTTTCAATTTCTGAATAACCTATTGATAAGCATAGCATCACTTTAATCTAATAACCTTTTGAAATCCCACCTTTGAATACATGAGACTTTGGGGGACAGTGAAAGCCCCACCTCTGAACCCATGAGATTACTGGAAACATTTTAGATCAAAACTGAAACAGTAACTCAACAGCTAGCTATTTGTTTTCCAGCTGACCTATATATTCTTAAATTAGTTGAAGATTTTTTTGAGTGTTTTGTCTTCTCTTTTTATCTCTTCTAAGTATATACATAGGTGTATACTGTATATGTACTCATTTATTTCTAGATTGTTCTAGGGTTTAGTAGATCAATTTTTATCTTGTTATGTTTACCTAAAATAATATACTACTGCATCTGAAATGAAAAAAAATTATGATAATATATTTTTTCCACTTTGTTCACTTATTATTGTCATGTGGTTTACTTTGTATATATCATAGACTTCAAATATTGCCAAGAGCCATTCTACATAAATTTTGGGGAAAAATCATTTTATAATTAAAGTATGACTACAGCTCTCTAAGCCCCAATGTCATCTTGCCTGTGAGCCTCTAGTCACAAGTTGAGGCCTCAGTGATCGAGGACACTGTGATGCTCAAGGTCAAGTGTACATCAGCTGAAGACATCCTGGTCTGAACTGAGCAGTAATAAAAAAAAGAGAGAACGGTTTCACCTGGGTAAGGACAACTTTTTCAGTACCCTGCTATCTTGTCCCACCTACTATTGTAAGAATGCCTTCCTTATTGCCCTCAACATAAGATCCTCAGAGACCTAAGATCTTCACCAACATAGGATTACCCCACCCCCTAAGTCACCTGGTACTCCCTCCAATTATTATTATTATTATTATTGTATTAAATTCTTTTATTGGTACATTGTAGGTATACAACACAATTACATTTCTCATTGGGAATTGT